CTCTCAGATGCTGTGGGTTCAAATAAAACCTTCCTGGGCTTTTTGGAGTATACTCTTKGTGGTGCTTGGTCAGGACTCTTCCTCCAGACCTCACTGGATTCTGCCTTGCCAGATGGTGACTTCAGGGCACAGGGTACCACCAGGGTCCTYACTGGTGGCTGGATATCCTTCTTCACAGGCCTGGATGCTCTGGCAGTCACCTCTGAGCTCTGACTCTTAACCTGTGACATGAACCCCAGTCAAATCAGCCCTGAAGAAAAATACCTGAGGCTACTGTGAATTACTGGGCCAGAGATTAGTTTCATGTAACTGTTTTCAGGCTCATCTTCCCACTGAGTTTTAAAGGCCAACATGAAAGCTGTATCAGCTGCCACACAGATGCTGAGCAATGCAGCTATCTGCTGCTGTGTGCTGTGGTTGGCTTTCAGTCTATTGGGCACAGCTAGAATATGGAAGGATAAAAAGGCTATCTATACTAGGAACAAACAGGCTGGTTGATCATCCCCCTCAACGACTGCTAAATTCAGCCTTTCAAAAGGTATTTCAATGGAGCACAAAACTTTGGCTCCAAAACTTGCTGAGCCATATCTCCACTGATAGAATGGCAGCAAATATTTCAGCTAGACATCGACTGAATAGCTGCTGGTGAGGGAGAAGATACTACAGTGACAGTGAAATAACAAGAAGGTGGCTCCAAAGTACACATACCTCAGTGGAATCCTCCAAGTCCTGGCCAAGGGGTCTATCATCTGCTGGGAGCACTGGTGACTGGGTGGTCTCTGGTATAAGGAAGGGATGGGCAGGCGTACTGCTGGAGACACCTCGGAGCAGCTGCAGCAGGAACAGTGACAGAATAATAGGACATGCCAAGTGTGCCAGCCTCCAACAACACAAAGGGTGAGCAAACAGATGTCTTGCAAGAGAYAGATTCCCTGCAATGGAATAATCTGCCTTTCCTCTCCCACACAAAAAAAAACAAACAAGGAAAAGGAAAGCCAGATGCTTCAAGATGCTAAATCCAATGGCTTCAGCTGAAGGTAAAACAACTATCTAAGTACCAAAGACTCAGGAGAGAGCGGAACTGAACAGCTCTCTGTTGCCCATCTCCTCTGACACACAAGGTGTTCTGGCAAAATTGTGTTCAGAAGATAGGCCTGCAGCATCACAGAGGTTTCAGGCTCAGCACAGACATGCATTAACAGATACATGTTTGTCAGCTCTATCTTGGAGAAGTAGAGAAGGAGAGCATAGGGGAGGAGGTTCTGAGGCTCAGAAGTGACAACATTTGGGACTCTGGGCAGGAAGAGAAGAGAATGTCAAATCTTTTACCTGCCCATTGACAGTAAGGACAAGCCTCACAGGATTGCCTTTGTCCATCTCTTTCAACGAGGCCATGAAAATATCTGTTCTCCAGTCATCTTCCCACACCAGAGACCTGCATAAGGGACCATGGCTTTTCAGCCCACAAGTGAYGCTGACCAGGACAAAATTCCTGCTCCCATACTAAATGGTAACAGCCAAAGCCAAAAGAAATCCAACCAAGAAAGCAGCCAGAAGGAAGCAGGAATCATAACTAGAGAGGAACACCATAGTGGGGGACCAGCAGGCCTGAGCAGCTTTGGGATGACACCAGCTGTCATAGAGCCCAAGCCAGAGATCAGAAAGCTTTTCCAGGATGCCCCTCCTGACACCCTGGCAGCTCCTGCTGTAACCTGCGGGTTGGCTCCAGCGTGCCGACCCGCTGGGGCGTGATGCCTGGGGACACCAGCACATCCACTGCGATGCTTGTGTCCGGAGAGTAACAGCTCCAGTCTCCCAGCCCGAACACCACCAGCTGCTTTGGCAACGGCAGGGGCAGCCAAGCCTGGAAACCCATCTGGCTGGACTGGCTGCAGGGGGAAGGAAACAAAAACAAGAGACAGTAATCAAGGAGTAAAATAAAAGGTAGGGGGAAAAAATGGAAACGCCTGAAAACACGTTTATGCCAAGGGAGGTTGAAAGGTGAGGGCTTGTGACATTTAAAGATGAAACCATGCAAAGATGTGGTAAAGGAAATAACCGATGGGAAAGGAAGACAGCCAGGGGCTGGGGCAGCGGCAGCTCCGGAGACACGGGCCACGGCATGGCGTGCAGGTGCTCCCGGAGGAACCCCACCCAGATACGGGCCGGCCGGTCCGCGCAGCCCCCGGGGCCGGGCCGGGCCGCACCTGCCGAGCCGCCGCGGCGGCTCCCGCAGAGCCCAGAGCACGTAGAAAGTGAGGCCGCCCTGCCGGGCCCGGCCACCGGGCCGCGAACAGCCTCGGCGGCGAGCAGACAACATCACGGGGAGCAGCACAGGGCCCCTGGGTCGGCATTAAGGCGTCCGGAGCAGGAGGGACGGCCCCGGCATCCCCCGCCCCGGCCCTGCACCTGCGGGGAGGC